TGGTCAAGAAGGCCCAACGGTGGCTGTACTTCCTGAGGAGGCTGAGGAGGTTTGGCATGTCACCTAGGATCCTCAGCAACTTCTACAGCTGCATCATTGAGAGCATCTTGACCAGCTGCATCACTGTCTGGTATGGCAGGACTACTGCTATGGACCACAAGCACCTGCAGAGAGTGGTAAAGACTGTGGAGAAGATCACCAGGACTCCACTGCCCTCTCTGCAGAGCATTTACGACCGCAGGGTGCGTGGGAAGGCTGCCTCCACCCTCAAAGATCCCACCCACCCCCAGCACGGACTGTTCACTTCTCTGCCCTCTGGCCGGAGGTTCAGAAGTGTGAAATGTAGGACCACTAGACTGAAAAACTCTTTCTTTCCCTCTGCCATCAGACTCCTAAACAGCTGAGGAGTTTATTACCAGGAAATACGTGATGTACTGTTTACATTTTGTTTGCATAACTGCACAATGACTGTTGACTGCTGCACATGCTGCTCCCATGCAGCATACATTCTGTTATATTCTTGTATATTTTTTTCTACTATATTGCTGCATCTGCGCTGCTTAAAGTCCCTTAGATTTTGTGTTATTTATCTACTTTATATTTCATTTTTATTTTGTGACATTCATGTGGACGGCAAAGTAAGAATTTCATTGTACAGGGAAACATGTTTCCTAACTGTGCATATGACAAACTAAACACTTTGAACTTGAACTTGACAGGGAGACAGGCAGACAGCAAACAGCAAACATCTGTTCTGACACGGTGATTTTTGTTTATGCTCTGTGTTTTTGATTTTTAAAAAGTTGCCTTGTGTTGTTATTTTGCCTGTGTGAGGCTGGAGAGTGGTTAAATCGATGAATTTAGTTTTCAAAAAAAAAAAAAAAAAAATGTCACTTCATGTTGTGCACATGGACTTACATAAGTGATGTGGGGGTGGACTTACATAAGTGATGTGGAACTTTCTGGGTATTTGCGGCGGGAAGTGGTACGTACACAGTGGTACATGGCCTGAAACGTTTGGGAACCTCTGGTCCTGTCTGTGTAAGTGATGTATTTATAGTAAATATGCCAGATCATTTGGTAACCACTATGGCCGCAATGATTCACACCAATACTAAACGTTTTGACAATTTTGGAAATAAGATTGCATTCATTCAGTTAAAGTGAGCAGCTGACTGTGTTTTTAATGCCACAGCAATTCCTGGCCTCATGTTACCCATCCATCGTTTTTTTTCTATACCGCTTAGTCCCAAACAGGGTCACGGGGAGCGGGAGCCAATCCCAGCCAGCTGCGGGCGCGAGGCGGGGGCG